GCAGTAATTAAGTCCAAGGCTCTGGCCCTTTGAGCAGGGCAGAGCAGGGAGCAGCCAGCAAACAGTCTAGGGCTCTCAGTCTCCTGTTGGGGGCAAGCCACAAGCCAAGCACAGGCCTTCTGGCCTAGGGGTGCAAAGGCCACCACCCCAGGGTTGGGTTTGGTGGCAGGGGTAGTAAGGGGACCTGGGCCCACCCGACTACAGTGCGACCCAGCCCAGGGCCCTAACAGCGGCAGAGTGTCTCACCACTGCATTTGTGGGGAATCCAACCACAACATGCTGACCCCTTCTCTGGCAACCAAACCGGACTAAAGTCTGGGTTCCCCCAGCTATTTCCCACCACAGTCTGGAGAGGGGGTTCCATAATCCAAGGGTCCTCTCTCTTCTCAGGGTACACTGTATACGGCACTCCCAGCAACTCCCCTCCAGGGTCTGTCTCCAACAGAGACCGGGCACTGGGCAGCGTGGACTCGGCTGTGGCAGTCAGCAGCAGAATGGAGAGGTCTGTCTTCTTCCATGTCTTGCAGTGAACTAAGCTGCAGGGACCTCCCTTTATACTTCCTGTCCCACCCCAATATTTCTGGTGAGGGGGATGTGGCAGCTCTGGCTCTGCCCACCAGGGGGAGGTTTAGTGGTCCCCTGTTGTCAAGTCTGGAGAGAGGCCACTCCGCTTCACTACAAAAGAATATGAAGGCTGCTCGCTATCATACGGAAGCTAATGGGTTTGTAGAAAGATGTAGTGAAACTTTAAAAGCTATGCTAAGAATGTATCTCTCCAGGCATGACAATGACTGGGATGTTTGTCTTCTTTATCTTCTATATGCCTACAGAAGTGTTCCCCAGAAAACTATTGGCTTTCCCCCTTTGATCTCCTGTAGGGGAGGCAGGGGAGGGCACCCCCAGATTTGCTTTGAGGCTCTTGGGAGGGCAGTACCGAAGAGACAGGTCAGCTGGTAGAGGAGTATTTTACTCATTTTCAGGAGAATTTACAGTGTATGATGGATTTAGTGCAAAAGAACCTTAAAAGAACTCAGGAAACCCAGAAGCAGATCCAGGACTGTGACAGATTTTTGTTACTAATTTTTTGGAGTGTCAGGTGATTAGGCTGACACCGCAGGATTGTTTGGGGAGGAGATGACGTAACACACCAAGTGTTTACATTTTAAAGCTTTATTAAGAAAATAATAAAATATAGCAGAGAGTGCGGGGGATGCTTTTATGTTACTTCGGGGAAGAAAGAAAGCATTACAGCCCCGAGCCCTAACCCACTTTCATACTCACACACGCACTACCCAAGCTGGCCAGGCCTCAGTGTAAAATAAGAAGAGGGGGAGGGGTGCACTGGAGTTCTTTCCCTGGGCCCAGGTTGTCCGGGAAATCCACTGTAATTTTCGAATTGCTCCAGCTTTTGGGAGGGTTTTTAAGTCCCGGGTTTTTTGGGGGGTGTTGTTGTTTAGGGCTGTCAAGGTTCCTTCCCGACTCTGAACTTTAGAATACAGATGTGGGGACCTGCATGTGAACATCTAAACTGAATTACCAGCTTAGATCTGCTTTTGCTGCCACCACCAAAATAGTTTGAGTCATTTGGGAAACTCTGTATCCCCCCCCCCAAACCTTTCCCTCCCTGGGTAGCCTTGAGAGACTCCTCCACCAATTCCCCAGTGAACACCGATCCAAACCCCTTGGATCTTAAAACAAAGATGAATTAATCATTCTCCCTGTCCCCTTTCCCCCCACCAATTCCCGGTGAGTCCAGATCAAATCCCCTTGGATCTTAAAACAAGGAAAAATCAATCAGGTTCTTAAAAAGAAGGCTTTTAATTAAAGAAAGAAAGGTAAAAATCATTTCTGTAAAATCAGGATGGAAAATAACTTTAGAGGGTAATCAGATTCAAAGAGCCCAGAGGAACCCCCTCTAGCCTTAGGTTCAAAGTTACAGCAAACAGAGGTAAACACTCTAGCAAAAGAAACATTTACAAGTTGAGAAAACAAAGATAAACCTAACATGCCTTGCCTGGCTGTTTACTTACAAGTTTGAAATATGAGAGACTTGTTCAGAAGATTTGGAGAGCATGGATTGATGTCTGGTCCCTCTTAGTCCCAAGAGCGAACAACCCCCAAAACAAAGAGCACAAACAAAAGCTTCGCCCCCCCCCAAGATTTGAAAGTATCTTGTCCCCTTATTGGTCCTTTGGGTCAGGTGTCAGCCAGGTTACCTGAGCTTCTTAACCCTTTACAGGTAAAAGGACTTTGGAGTCTCTGGCCAGGAGAGATTATAGTATTATACACAGGAGAGCTGTTATCCTTCCCTTTATAGTTATGACAAGGGCCCTCTGTGCCTGGTGCTCTTTGTAAAAGTCCCAATCGGCTTGCTGAAGCCTTTTTGGCTGCCCAAAACACACTGGCTTTGGAGAATATTTTTTTTTGTTGGATTTTATTGTTGCCACTTTATTTGCTTTGGTTTTTCTGCTATTTTTTGCAGCTTTGTTTTATTTTATTTTTTTTATGACTGGGCAGCTATAAATTTTTTGTTTGTAGATTTTTTGTTGAGCCTATGACCTTAGGCAGGGGCCAGTATTTTATTTTTACACAGAGCTAGATAAAGTGCCGAGTACATTTTTTTTTTTTTTGGCTTTTTGCAAAGGAATTTTTCATTTTTTACTTACATACTTTTGACCCTCCCCAAAATGCTTTGCAATGCTTGCAACAGTATTAGCCACATACAATGCTGATTTGCCTTCCCCAGGGACTCCCTGAGGGAGATGGCCATTAGGGTGTGACAGGAGGCGGTAAATAGCACGCTGGAGATGGGGTAATTATTAAATCAGAAAGCCCCTGGGCATCTCCTATTGTGATGGTACCTAAAAAGGGTAAAACCATGAAGTTTATGGGAACTTTAGGGAACTAAATGCTAACACCCAATCCCACCCATATACCATGCCCTGAATAAAGGAACTACTGGATCTATTGGGGGGGGGGATGCAAAATTCATAAACCCCATGGATTTGACTCGTGGGTACTGGAAATTCCCTTTGATACTGATGCCAAAGAAAAATCTTCTTTTGTAGTGGAATCGGCTTATATGAATTTAAGGTTATGCCTTTTGGATTAATCAATGCAAGAGTTACCTTTCAGAGGCTTGTCAATGAGGTGCTGCAGAGGGTACAAACCTTTGCCAGGACCTAGCTAGATGACTTGGCTATTTTCAAGTATCAGGGAGTAGCCGTGTTAGTCTGTATCTACAAAAACAACAAAGAGTCTGGTGGCACCTTAAAGACTAACAGATCTGAAGAAGTGAGGTTTTTACCCACAAAAGCTTATGCCCAAATAAATCTGTTAGTCTTTAAGGTGCCACCAGACTCCTTGTTGTTTTGGCTATTTTCAGTAGCTCCTGGCAAGGCCAGTTGAGTCATGTGGGAATTGTGTTATACAGACTTAAAAAAGCCAACCTCACTGTCAAGGTCTCCAACTGCAGAATGGGAGCTGCAGAGGTTTCTTATATAGGGCACAGGGAAGGCACTAGGCTTGTTTGCCACAGCTCTTTAAAGTAGAAACTATTAGGAGTTGTCCTGCTTCATGAACCAAGAAGCAGGTCCAATCCTTTATTGATCTTGCCAAGTACCACTGCAGGTTGTGAAGGGGTTAGCAACATTGTGGCCCCCTCAACAGATCTTATAAAAAAGAGAAGCCAGACCAGGTGGTATTGACAGAGATCTGTGAAAAAGGCTTGCAGAATATAAAAGAAGGTGATGAGACTTCTAATATTTGGTTAGGTGCAGTGTTAAAGTAGGATGGGGAAGGAAACAAAAGGGATCCCTTTGTCTTCTTGAGTAAAAATGAACCTCTACTGAACTGAACCAAGCGGTCATCCAGTGGGAATTCTATTCCATAATCTGGGCTGTAAAGCAATTTAAAGCTTATTGTGTAATAAAATAATTCAGGTTTTGACAGATCATTCTCCCCTTATACAGCTGTACTGAGCTAAGGAAACAAATTCTAGATTATTGCCATGGAGTCTTGCTCCACAAGAATTTCACATGGAAATAATTCATGTCAAGGGGGAGGAAAAGGTAGTGACTGGGGCCTTATCAAGAACAGGGTGACCCTGAGGCATGTTCCGGAGCACTGACAACAGCCCTTCCTACACCAGTTTTGCATTGGGGGTGGGACGGTGGTAAGCCAAGTGCCAGCTCTGGCCAAGGCCTAGGTGTCAGCTGAGAACTGACAAACTCACAGCTGGAAGCCAGACCAGCTCACTTGTGTGTTAGTATTGTTCTGGGTGGCAAGATAGACGGGAGCGTCTAAAGGAACTGCCTGTGACTCCGTTACAAGACGACTGCAGTATTTTGGGAGTTAACATTTGTTACTGAGTTGGTGAAATCTAATGATCGAACATACCACCAGTCTGGGGTGGCTGCCCTGCTTTTGACAGTCTGCCCTGAGGTAGACACTCATGGTCGGGAACCTCTACAAACAGAGTGACACCATATATCCAGGCATCCATCCAAGTATGCATCCAGCCATCTCAGCCAACTGTACGTTCATCCACCTCCATAGACACCCTTCTACCCATATATCCATGCATCCATCCATGCATCCAACTGTCCATCCATTCCAGCGATCTGTACCTCCATCCAACCCCATACAAACTCCTCCAAACAATCCATCGCCATACATACCCCTCTCCCCATCCCCATACACACCATCCCTCCATCCACAAACACACCCTCTTCTGCTCTCCCTCCCTCCATCTCTATGCACCACCAGACCCAGCTGGGATCACAGTGAGCTCTGTAGGCCGTAGAGTTACTTATTTCCATTGCCAGTCTCCATGCAATTACACCTCATCCATGTCACATTAGTTACACCTTGAAAGGGTTAATCACCCGCTCCCGCTCCCATGCTCTAACCTGAGCCTTGCTCAGCCTACTAGATGCAGCAACTGCTCACATACTGAAGCTCAGGGAGTTCATTACATTCCCCAAAGCGGACACATTCTCTTTTGGTTTTTGGTTTTGTAACTTCGTTTTTATTCATTGCAAGTCTAGACAGCAGAAAGCCAAATAAATGAGCTGGAGCAGGGGGGACTGGCGTGGAGGAGAAATGACTGAACATCTGAATGCAAGACAGTTGGTTCCAGTGCCTCGCTGGTTAATATTTTGGTACACAAGCAAGCTGGCGGCTTGGCAGGACACCAGCTCTGGGAGCCTCTCTGTCCCTATCTAGGGGTGGATTATGTACAGAGCAGGCCTGCTTGTCCTTTTCTGACAATTTATCATTTCAAAAATAGGGCTGAATCAAAAATGGGGCTGGAAAACATCAAACCAAAATGAAAGGAAATGAAAATTTGTGTTTGATTTCAACATGAAAATATTCATTTCGTTTCTAATTGAAAATTTTGTTTTGTTGCATTTCAAATTAAATTGCCCATTTCATATCGAGATGATGCTTTTGTTTATGGTTCGACCTGAAGTTTTCATTTTGTACCAACTTGAGATTTTCACTTTTTTTCTAATTAAAACTCCCCTTTTGTCTCACAGTGAAAGCTTTGTTTCTTTTCCTTTTGGAATTCCAATTTTCCTTTGAAATTCAAATGTATTTTGTTTCATTTCAATCTGAAATTTTCAATTTGTAGTCAATGTAATTGTTCATTTTCTATTTGACTGAAATTTCGGTACAATTGGATTTGAAAATGTAATTTAGGTCAAATTCTTATTTAATTTCTTATTGCAATATTGTTTCCTTTCTAAATGAAATTCACATTTGGACTGTAATTGAAACAGTAGGTGAGGGGTTAAGAAACCTAGCTGGTTTGAAGATGGGGATTATAATACATGATTGCATGTCCTGGATTGGATGATGTTGTATGATCCTATATTGTATGAAATATTTGTTTAGTTTCATACTGAAATTTTAGGTGTTTTCTAACTTAAATGTCATTTCCTTTCTAAATGAAGTACCACTTTGAATTCTCATTGGAAGTTTTCTTCAGTTTCTTATAGGAATTTCCATGTTTCTAACTGAATTCCACTCTTGTTTCTAATGTAGAGATATAGGACGATGAAGAGTTGGGCTTCATGTGTCAAGAACAGGGCAATTCCGGGTCATGAGGAGAATTCCAGCGGGTCCAAGCCTTGTAGATTTCACATTGTTGCCTTTATCCAGGGGATGAACTCAGAGATCCGTGTGTACACTTGAGGGGGTGAAGCATCAATAGGACCAAAAGAGACGATGCCCTGCACCACCCTGCCACACACCAGGGGCCCCCCAGAATCGCCCTGTGAAATGAAACAAGAAGTTAGATTAATCTCATCTGTCAGGGTTCTCTCCCCACTCTGAACTCTGGGGTACAGATGTGGGGACCTGCATGAAAGACCCCCTGAGCTTATTTCTACCAGCTTAGGTTAAAACTTCCCCAAGGCACAAATCCTTTCCTTGTCCTTGGACGGTATTGCTATTACCATCAAGTGATTCAGACAAAAATTCAGGAAAAAGGGCCACCTGGAGTCCCTGTTTCCCCAAAATATTCCCCCAAGCCTCTTCACCCCCCTTTCTGGGTAAGCTTGAGAATAATATACTCACCAATTAGTTACAATGTGAGCACAGACCAAACCCCTAGGTTTTTAGGACAATGAAAATTAATTAGGTTCTTAAAAGAAGAATTTTATTAAAAAAAAATGTAAAAGAATCACACCTGCAAAATCAGTATGGAAGGTAACTTTACAGGGTAAATAAAAAGATTTAAAACACAGAGGATTCCCCTCTGACTCTGTTTTCCAGTTACAAAACAGGAATGAAATTACCTCTTAGCATAGGGAAAATTCACAAGCTAAAACAAAAGATAATCTAAAGCATTTCCTTGCCTTTATTTACAATTTCTGTAATTTTAGATGTATCATTTCAGATATGTTACAGGAGATGGTTTACCTGCTTGGTCTCTCTCTCCATCCAGAGAAGGAACAAACAAAAAGAGCACACACACACACACACCCAGATTTGAAAGTATCTTCTCTCCTTATTGGCCCTTTTGGTCAGGTGCCAACCAGGTTATTTGAGCTTCTTTACCCCTTACAGGTAAAGTGATTCTGTACCTCTGGCCAGGAGTGATTTTATGTTAGTGCATACATAAAGGTTGTTACCCTTCCCTTTATATTTATGACAGCATCTGATCAAGTTGCTTCCTTCTGTTGACATAGACCTGGGACTGGCCTCCCACCCCACCCCAGGCCCAGCTGGTCATAGTCTCCTCTCCTTAGGCTGGGCCAGTGTTGCCATTCCCTGTCCTGGACTGAGCATGACACTTATATTGAAAGATGATTTCCTGCCATGCTGGTCTCCTGCACACAGCATGGTCCCAGGTTTATACTTACTCGGAAAGCGCCTACTGCAGACCCTGTCCTCCATCATATCCAGATCCACCTCCATCAGCACATCTGAGGCCTTCCCAGGGAACACATTCATGTGGCCCCAGCCAGTCATGCTGCACATGGACCCTGGCATAACTGTGTCCCCATTCCGGGCCAGGAGTATGGGCCAAACCTGGAAACTAAATCTGGCCTGCTGGGCCAGCTGCCATAGGGAGAGAGAAAAAAAGAACCAAGCTCAGCATAAAGGTCTGAGTCAGGAGAGGTAGAGACACATCTGAACCAGAGCAAAACAGACAGTTTGAGGTCATCATTGGAGTGATGGGTTGGGGGCGGTGCCTGAAGCAGTGTGAGGTCACTGGGGGCCGGGTGATGAGTTAGGGGCAGTGCCTACAGCAATGTGAGGTCACTGGGGGTGGAGTGATGGGACAGGGCGGTACCTGCAACAGCATGATGTCATTGTTAGTGGTCACTTTGTTGTATTGCGGGTGGGGGATTGAGCGATGGACAGGGATCTTCATTGTGTTCATTGTGTTCCCAATTCCCAAGGTTAGGGGTTCCCAACCTGACAGTGATGATGCTGTAAAGCCAAGAGGAACACATGGTGTGTTAGAGGTAACAGCACACATGAGTTGGGGATGGGCCCATGTGGGTCTGACTCATGAATACTTCTTTTGGGGGCTCTTAGGAAGAGAACTAGGACTCAGCTTTCAGCCTGAAATAATGTACATACCACTAGACACATGGCTGGTCTGATCTGACCTCAGGGCAGAGTACTGGCTGGATTATTGGGGCAGGGAATGGGACACGGGGCTCTTTTCTGCTAGGGGTGCCAGTTGCAGCATAAAGCCCCTACCTTGTGATATTGGGGTCCCAGCCTGTGTCTCTACCAGCCCCTTGTGTGTTCCCCTGAGCTCCTTCACTCCCCATTGTCCTCCTGGCCCCTGGGTCTCAGCTCCCTTGCAGCCCGGTGACCCCTCCCCAGTTAGATCCAGACAGGGGTCTATACACAGCTCCCCCTAGGCCAGAGCCCTGTGAGCTCCTTCATGTACAGATCAGGACAATGGGGGACCTCCAAAGCTGGTGCAGTGGGCCGGACCCCCAGCTGGTGTCAATCAGCCATAGCTCCACTGATTTACCCAGCGCTGGATCTTGACAATGGTTTCCACAGACCCCTGGAGACAGGCCGATGCCCCGTGAGCAGATCAGATCCCTGGGCTCTGCTCTCCCATCCTCTTGTACTCACAGCTCCTTCCCTGCAACCCATGATGGCGCCAGAGCTCACGGCTCCCCCATCACCTGCTAACGCCTGACCTGCCCAACACAGAGGCGCTTACTCTCCATTGCAGTGAGCAGCCTTCAGCACGAAGTTCTCTGACACCAGGAACCCTCCACAGAAGGAGCTATTATTTCCACTTTGAATATCCAGATAAGTCATGGTAGGGGGTATGGAGTAGGGAGGGGCTTCCTGGCCCTTGATGATCTCACCTGTGGGGGGGCAGGGAACAGATTCATATAAAGAACCCCATCGTCTTCCTGGACCAGGCTGGGATCAATCTTCCCATCCCAAAGAGGAGTCCCCACAGCCTCAACCCTCCCCCTGTGATGCTCTCCCTGGGGGATTCCTGTACCAGGAACTCTGCCCCATGCAGTGCTCTCCCACTCACTGGACACCCCATGGGGCCAGAGGGTAAATCTACAGCTCTCACCTCGCTGGGTGGAGAATCACTGCCAAATGCACCAGGAGTGAGTTAGTAATTGCACTGCCTTGAGTAAACAGCTTTGTGGGCCAGTATCATCCAGTAACACATCCCCTGATGATGTTTCGCCTTCTCCATCAACCCCCCAGTGACAAGCCAGGGCTGCTGCTGAGCTGCCCCTCCAAACCCTTTTTCAACAGAAAATCAGGTTTTCTAGATAATGAAAAAATTCCCAGAAAGTGTCTCCTCACCTCAAACATTTCAGCATTTTTCTTGGCAAACTGATCATTCCCCCCAGCTTTCGGCATTTTTCAGCTGACAATTTGTACGTTTTCGGTCACCAAAACAATTTATCTTTGGTCACACTAGAGATTAAGAAGGAGTGACAAGGTATGCAATGGAAACATACTGTCCCCCATCCGTTTAGCCCCGATGCCTTCACTATCCCTGACCGTTTACTGCTTTCATTTCTCCAAATATTTCCTAGACTGCCAAGATCTATGGCAACATTATATGCACACCTGCCCAGCATATTTGAACTAAACACCGATCGTCTAAAAAGGCATTGGGAGGAGGAACAAGACCAATTATTTTCTGCTAACCAAATGGAAATAAATAGTAGCCAGTGCTCCAAACTGCTCCTTGGAGCTACATTTCAGATTAATTCCACAGGAATTCATACACTGGAGGTCCTGGACCTTCCTTCCACTGTTCAAAAAAGATGCTGCTAAGTCAGACAAATATTGGTTCTGTGATTTGGCAGGTGCTGACTTCACCCATATGCTCTGGGAAGGTACCTAGATGCTGTCATAAACATACAGCTAAGGGTAGCATAAAATCCCACTTTACCCTGTAAAGGGTTGTAGTGAGGCAGTGTGGCTCCCTGCAACCCCGGAGGGGGAAGAGCCCATCCGGAGGCTGGAGTGAGCGGAGCTAGGGAACTCTGAGCCCGCCCCATAGACGATCAGGCGGCGACCCGGAAGTATAAAGGCTCACCCTCAGAGCTCTATCAGGCCCCAGATGCCGGAGAGACCAGACGCCTCCAGCCTAGCCCGCGACTGGGAAAACCCTGCGGTCCAAGGCGGCCACCAGGACTGGCCGGGCCTGCCATGCGCTCGCTACCCGGAGGAGCTGCCGGACCTGCTGCCCTCCCACTACCCAGAGGAACCTATGGTACTGGACCCCCCAGCGGACAACACCCAGATCCAGGTACTACCCAAGGGGGAGTCTGGAAGTAGCCTGGGATCAGCCAACCCTAGTCTGGATGCAGCACTGCCAGAGCCCATGTCAGTGTGTTGCGACCAGGATCCCCGCTGACAGCAGCGGGTCTTCTGTCGTTGCTAGGTCCCCAGGCTGGGACGCAGTGAAGTGGGAGGGCCTGCGTCCCCCCGCCACCCAATTCGTGGGTGGCAGTCTCCCCCTCTCCCGGGACTTTGGAGGCTTGGGCCTACCATTGTTGCCCCACCCTGACCCAGGACCTGGGCTTATCACTACTGTTTATATCATACTGTGGTTGCTCAGCCCCTGCCAAGGGCCTGAGCACCTGACTCCTTGTTTGCCAAGCACCTGACCCAGGGCTTGGGATCACAGTGTCTGTTACAGGTAATGCAAGGGCTGCCGAGGGAGACCCCGTGGCCAGACTAATTCCCCCAACGTCAACCATATGTAGTGAGTTGGTGTGGCTCCCCACCGCCCTGGAGAGAGACGAGCCCCCGCAAACCCTTGTATACGGGTTAATTCCTCTTTTACCTATAAAGGGTTAAGAAGCTCAGATAACCTGGTTGGCACATGACGAAAAGGAACAATAAGGGGAGAAGATACTTTCAAATCTTTGGGGGAAGGTTTTTTGTCTGTGTCTCCCGGAGTCAACAAGGAACCAGGGCAGGGAAAATACATCTCCCTAAGCCATATCTGAACTAAGCATCTAATATTACAAAAATAGTAAGTAATAGCAAGAAAATGCATTAGATTATCTTTTGGGTTAGCTTGTGAATTTTCCCTGTGCTAAGAGGGAGGTTTATCCCTGTTTTTGTAACTCGGTCTACATCGAGGGATAGGCCAGTGTAGCTATGTCTCTTAAGGGTGTGGATTTTTCACACCCCTGAGAGATGTAGCTATGCCCATGTAAATTCCAACTGTTGACTAGCGCTGAATCTTTTTCAGAGATCTCAGACTGCTAT